GTGTGTGTGGTTCTGGTCTTTGCTCGACTACGCACCATATATGCACACAAAGACAAAAAGTATTGCGGTGGATCTTTTTCATCTTCTCATTTTGCACATTTGGTGAGCACGGAGTAGGCTCTTGTGTATGCGTCGGCATGTGGGCCTGGGTTGTTTGCTTTGGTCGGAGTGCATGCTTCAAGCAACCCATGAGTGTCCTATTCGCCTGCCAATTTTCTTTCGTCTGCTGTTTGTAGGTCTATTCTTTTTTTTTTTTTTTTTGGGGAAAGTAGGTCTATTCTCTTTCGTCTGTTATTTGTAGGTCTCTTCCCTGAAGTTATCCCTCCGTAACGGCTCCTGGGGGGCTCGACACAGCACACGAATCGACAAAATGAGGCGAGTGGAGCGGCCCGTGAAAAGTGATAAATTGCTAAAGAAAAAAAAAAAAAGTGATAAATTGCACTCGTTACTATTTATAGCGGACGGATGAACGTGTCCTCCTTCTGCGGGAGGATGCACTCGTTGCGTTTCGTTTTTTTTTTTAATCATTAAAAATTTGGACTATTTCTCGATTTATGGCCCCTAATCTTCTCTGTATGCGTCGCCGCACGGGACACGAAACGAAAAACGAAACCTGCAGAATAAGGCCAGGTTCATCGCTTTGCTATAAATCGTAACGGGTGTATTTTGCCACCTTTCGTGGGCAGATGCCCTCGTTTCGTTTTCGTTTCATGTGCCTTGCGGCGAGACCCTGTATCGTTCCAATTTTAACGGATTTCCCGAAGGACGGTCGTTTCGTTTTCCGTTCCTTGTGCATGCCTTGGGAGTCAAACCGTTTCATTTGTTTTTTCTTTTTCCAACAAACAAACAAATGCTCCTTCGATTCGTGGGGAGCTGCACGAGCTGGGAATCGGGCCCAACGTCCCTTATAATTTAAATTGAAGTCGGCGGGGTCCTCACAGTCTACCCGGTCTCAACCAACCAAATTCTGGGAGTGCTAGGGCCTCGCCACACCAATGTCGAAAACTGCATTTTCGACATTTCCTCCTCGCCACACAGCATGTCGAAATCCGAGTGCCCTTCCTGGGCAAGCTTGGCGCCCGCCACCTAGAGATATGCCGTTGGTCCCCCCGAGTGGCATTGAGCAGAGACTACTGATGTTCATAGGGGCAGGGGACCGGAGGGGAGGCAGAGTGACTGGCCCATCGAAGAAGCTCGGTCCTGATGCTACCGGCTGACCCCTGGCCGGTATCGCCCACCTGCTGTAGCAGGTATCGCACCTGCTGGTGGGTGCAGCTCCCGCATGTTCCCTCGTTGGAGGCTTGAGCACGGATGTGGCTGCTACGGGGTTCCCCATAAAAATCCGAGATGCTTAAAAAAAATAATAATAAAAAATCCGAGATGTTTAAAAAAAATATTAATAAAAAATCCGAGATGCAAAAAAAATTCAGGAGCTGTCAGGGAAAGGGTTTCGACAACTCCTGTCGAGAAGGGCTCATTTCCACTTCAGGCCTGCGACTTGGACATTTTCAACAGTTCTCGGATGGGATGTCGAAATCTAGCCCGAATGTCGAAAAAGAGAACGCACAAGCACTTGTCCTATCTTCACCCCAGTTTCTCTTTTGTGCATAGACTTGTGAGTTCTTCACTTGGACATGCTGTGTGGCCAAGAGGGTTTTTCTGTCAAAAGAGGGAATGTCGAAAATTTCCTGACATATGTAGAATTTCGTGATGTTTCTACATTGGTGTGGCGGGCCAAGCCCATGGGGACCAGCCCCCAACTGAGATGCAGGTAAGACAAACAGAAAGACAAAAAGTAAAACAAACAGAAAGAGAGACTACTGTAAGGGCCTCGCCGCACCACTGTCGAAAATGCGATTTTCAACAGTTCCTCTTCGCCACACAGGCTGCCGAAGTCGGAGACAAGAAGAAAATTAGCAAGTTGTCAGAGAATGCTTCTCGACACCTCCTGTCGAAAGTAGTTGAATCCCCAGCCTGCTACTCCGATGCGTTCGACACTCCTCGGCTGCGCCGTCGACTTCGCTTCAAAATTTGGTGAGTGGGGGTAAGGTCGGGATGGACTGATGCTTGTCGTACCCTCACGCGCGTTCGTCTTTTTCCATCTCGCTTTCACAAGTGCGTGCACTCTACAGTGCTGTGTGGCGAAGGGAGGGCAAACTGTGGAATGGAGGCTGTCAAATTTGTTCTGACAGCCATTGAATTTTTTGGCCTTTCGACTGTGGTGTGGCGATGCCTAAAGACCTCGCAACACCACTCTCGAAATGTGAAAACGACAAAAATGCGGCGGGTGCATCTCGCCATGTTCTAGCCGGAAGTTCAGTCTCATTTTGAACGTTTGGAGACTGGTGTGGCTATGCCCTTACTAGGATATAACTCCCTATTATAAGGATGTTGGAACTTAAAGGGGTTCCTAGGCAACGGACTAGCATGTGATGCGCAACCTCACGCCCCGCCGCGGCTTTCCGTACTGGGTCGCCGATCAGAGTAGAAGGGGGTGTGGCCGAGGATTTTTGGCCATGGGGGTTGAGTCTCCCGGTAGGAATGGGAGTCTCTCGTTTCGGGGCCGATAGGTTTCCCCCGACTGGGGCTCGATCCTTGGTCAGGATTACCAAAAACAAAGGGGGAGGAGGACAGGGTGAACGGACGGGCCCAAYCCGGTTTCTCTAGATGGGGAAAAAGGAGGGACGGGGGACTGATCCCTCGCCGGGCCAGCTCTGCATAAAGGGCGATGGATTCCCCCGCGCGGATTCTCAAGCCTCGTCGTTGGATTCGTTGAGGCCTCGGGGACTCACAGCCGGGGGAACTCAGCGGGCGGGGGCTGTCGCCGCAGTTGGGATATGGAAACGGACAGAGAGAGCTCCGGCGTCCCGGGAGAGTTCAGGGAACCGGGCGGCTCCTTCGTACCCCAGATCCAGCCTTCGCCACGAGCAGGAGTCCCCCTGCTGGCACCAGCGGCAACCAAACTGGGGGCGCCACGCGGCGCAGGCCGCAGACCAGGGGAGCACCATCAGGTCGGTGTCAGGCAGTATAAGGGGCCGGGAAGAAAAGCGGTCTATCAGCACCAACCCCTCCCCCGAGATGTGGCACGCCCGTTCAGGGTTGCGCCARTGAACCTGCTCCGTGCGTCGTAGGACACTCTGTACGTCCGCGTTGCAGTAGACGCTGTCGTCGTCGACGATGGGGAAAATCGGGAGTGCACTGCGACGCGTGGAGTCAGGGTAAGTGCACGGGCGAGAACCCGTGCTTGATTGGAAATCCGTCTCCATACAAAGAGCGACAACGTCTCTCTCTCTCTCTCTCTCGCTCTCGGGTTTGACACTACTCAACCAGAGGGGTCCGGGCGGAGGGGCGGAGCCGTCTGCTGACCACCTTCAGCGGGCACTGCGAACGCTTCCGGCCCTCAATCAGCGATGTGCCACGTCAGACGTCGGCGCTGCGGGATTCCGGCTCGAGCGCGGAGGACGGGAGGGACCCCTTCGGTTACGCGAAGGCCCTCGCCCTACGCGATCGAACCACGAAACTAACAGGGGAACGAGACAAAAAGGAAAAAGAGGTACGATGGCCGACTTAATCATGCATCCAAGCAGACAATCGCCACTTAATACCCAAGGACCACATACATGCATACTCAGACTCACACCCCTTCACAGAACATCTCACCACGACTCACTCCAATGCTCACGGAGACAAAGCAGCAATGGAGAAAAGAAAGCGGGTTTCCTTATACACAAAACTTTCCAATTGGCTGACGCCCTCAGGCGCAACCGCAACCTCCCCAAGGACCACCGATCACCATAGCCACAAGACCCTATCGTGATCGGCACCCGATCTCCACCACTGCTCAATCCCTCCAGCTGGCTTACCCCGAGTCTATTGCTAAGCCCGACCCACGTCGTCACTCCGCTCGTAACTTGGGCTCGTCAAGCCTGTTCGGCGTCGCGGACGTTCGCGCATAGCTCGCACAGCATTGCAGGCGAGATCAAAGAGGAGGAGAGGAAGGGGTTGCAAAAATTTATAGCGTGGGAGGCGGCGGGTTGTCAGTGCGAGGTGCGGACCGCGCCGGTTGAAGACGAGCAGGACAGAAGAAGGGTGAAGGGTTTCGGAAGGGGTGTTCCGAGGAGTGGCGTGGTCAGGCGTAATTGGGGTGTTCGTTCAAGTGGTGCGCCTTTTCGCCTTCCACATTGATCCGTGCATCCCAACTACGCAGCCATTCACTCGCGGAGGAAGACGGGGTGGGGATCGAGCTGGGTGTAGGGGAAGACGAAGGGTCCTGCATGGGGGAAATGCGCGCAGCAGGAAAGGAACATGGCGCGGGGATGCAAAGCAAGAAACGGGGGTGCGAGACGCGCGAAGAAGTCGGAGCTTAGGCGCGCGCGCGCAAAAATTCAAAAAGTCCCAACCGAAACCGTTTCTTGGTTTTCATACCACGACCGCTATTCGCCCGCGCGGGAGTTATCAACCAAAGAAAAATGAAAAAGCCGTTTCAAAAAGAAAACAAAAGTAAAAAGAAAGAAAAAACCCCTTTTTGTTTGCATCCGTACTTCGGGGCTTCCGGGGGATTTTTCCTCAGGGGTATGGCAAGCCGCACGATACGGGTCTGAGCTTATAACATCTGTAATGCGCAGGGGGTTCCAAAAAATTAGCAGTCTCACGACTGCTGATGTCATCATATTTTGGATGCTCGGGGGGCCTCTTCGTCGTCAGCTGACCCGATCATCCCCTTGTCTACTTCGATGCATTTCGCATCCGGGCCATCAGCCGCAGCAGCCGGAGGAGGAAGCCGAATGGGATTAGCGGATCCTGAACCCAGACCCCCCGTCCTCGCGGGACCTTTCCGCTTCCGCCAGCCACCCCGAAGTGCCCCGATCATTGACATTAGCAGTTCCTCCGAGCCGGACGGTCCATCAGACAGAGGTGGATTTCATGGTGGAGCCCACTATGAGGCTCGAGGCCATTGCGGGGGTGCCTTGCCCTGATCCGGCGTGGGAGCCATATCTGACACCCCCTTTTCAACGTTGTATCGCGGCGCGGCTGGCGGGGACGCTCATCTACGAGACCGGGCAGCTTCCCAATGTGATGTATCACTTCCTTGTCTTCGCGGCGCAGAAGCGGGAGCGGCGACCCTACACCAAGACTCATCTGCTGATGACGGGTGCCGGACCACGATCGATGTGCAAACGGGTGGCGTGGGCGGTGGCGGATCTGGCGCCACGTGTCTTGTCTCATGTACCGGGGGTCTTCCTCTATCCCTCGTTCGTCCAGCACCACTTCCATGAGGAGGACGCGCCAACGACTCCCGCGGAAATGGCCGCTTTCCTTCCACCTATTCCGCCCCCTCTTAATCCCGGCATCAATCACTAACTTTGATCACCCTCGCCTACTTCTCCCTTCTTCTCTCCTTCTCTTTCTTTTCATCGTCTTCTTTTCCTATGCCCAAAGTTCGCGCGTCGAGACGCGTTGTACAAAATATATATATAATATATATATATATATAATATATATCGTCACAAACAGAACTGCCCGGTGAAACCGTATATATATATAATATATATATATATATATATAATATATATATATATATACAATAAATTTTCAGTGGGTTACTTACCGATCGGGCCAGCTGACGATGAAGGGGCAGCCCGATCAGATGTATAATATGAGGGGCAAGCGCGGGAAGGGCGGCGATGGCACAACAGTCTCCTTAACCAGCGTCGCCGCACTCTCAGGCACAGAGTCGGGATTCCGCGCGTGCACGGGCTAAACCACCTCCTCACCGCCACCGATTTGGCTACCTTGTGCTCCTGGCGATGGGTGGCGTCTCTTCCTCTTCGGCGTCTTCTTGGGGGCCTTTGGCGGCGCAGGTCGGGATACGATGAGGGAGGTCACAACGACTTTTCCTCAGGGAAGTCCTCCAACCTCTCCTCGCGCTGCGCAATGTAATCTGGGATGACGACCGCGTTGTACGTTCTCCGTGGGGCAGCCGCCGTCCGCAATCGTGGCTGGATCTCCTCTTCCTCGCTCGCGATCACTTGCACAATGGATAGGAGCTCAAGATGTATGAGCTCCAACAATCCCGGATCGGTCCTCTAGAGCTGGGCAAATGGGTACAACGCCACCGTCCCTCCTTCTGCGCTGGCTTGGGCTGCGTGATGGCGTAATATACGACGAAGTGCTCCCCGATGCAGTGGTCTTCATGATCCATGAAGAATCGGAACATCCCCAACGCCACCGACTTGTATAGCGCACGGTGCAACTCCCACGCGTCTTCGTCGGCGAAGGGCAGTGGCTCCACGTCAGTCAGCTCCACCAAATACTCCGAGAACTCCGAGAACTCGCGCATAGGATAGGGGCTTTTCGTGAGTTGATAGGGGAGAGTGGTGTGAGCGAAAAAGGGAGGCATTTAGTACGGGCCAGGGGGAATAGCTTGGATGTTGAGAGGGGCGGCGAGTGGAAGAAGCGCGGGGAGTTGTGGCACCAACCCAATTGGTCCGTCCTCTGCCCTGCGTAACAGCGCTTCGTGGGCTGTGAATCGGTATCCTCCCCGTCCTTGCACTCTGCCTACTGATCTCGCCGCCTGCACCGCGTATTCTCTCACAAAGCTTCGCATCGGCTCCCGATTCGGCTGCGGCAAGATCGTCAGGTCTCCGATAAAGGTGGCGACGCTATGCACGAAGTTAGGTGCCACCTGGAGCGCGCGGAACTCTATGAACACTCGAGTCGTCTCCCGCCCAGGTAACTGCGTCACGTCCACGTACAACCCCGCATACGTCAGCCGATCACAGAGCAACGAGTATTCCGCCAGATCACCAACCCCGGGCGCAGGCATGTTCACCTGCTGAATGTTGTATCGCAACTGCCTTTCCTCATTGAACTGATGCCGCAACAAGCGATCGGCAAGCGGCATCAGGAAGTACTCGAGGGGCTCATGCTCCGGCTTGCAATGGTTCATCCTGCTCCCTGAGACTCTCAGCACCAAGGGATGAGGCAGATCGAGAAGAGGAAGAAGACGAAGAAGGAGAGGAGGAGAGAGAGGGCGAAGGCTCGGACGGGGCAAGAGCCGATTCGCGGCCCAGAGATGGCCGAAACAGTCGAAGAGTCTCCGTGTGTCGCGTAAGCGACCTGGCCTTCGTGCTATGCCGGGGAACCAGCTTCACGAAGTGCTTTCCTCATGAGCCAAATTCCGTCACCTCGTAAATGCCAGTATAGCGTGGGTGGATTTTGGAGGAGCGCTCAGATTTCCGTACCTGCACCAAGTCCCCGATTTTATAACGGGGCATTGGTCCCGCTGTCGCGTGTCGGTTCTCATAATCCCGGATCTGCTGTTGATGCGTCAAATTCACGACCCGCAGGATAGGTCTGGGCCATCGGATCCAGGTAATGTTGGGCCTTGTCCTTGTGTTGGGCCCGGGTCACTGTAACTTCCGTACCCACTAGAGGTGACAACTGCACTCTGGAAATGTTATTGGTTCTCGGTTGGAACGGGGACACCCCGGTGCTCCCGTTGGGAGTAGCCCGATAGACGGCCAAAATGTGGTCGACTATGACAGGCCAAGGCCTGGTATCACCTACCGTGATATTCCGTCTAAGTGCAGTCTTGATCATTCGGTTGGCCTTCTCTACTAGCCCATTGGCTTGGGGCCAGTGCCCTGGGGAGTACGAAATTCTAACGTCTGCCCTTACAAGATATCGTTCTACTTCCCCCTGGAACTCGGATCCATTGTCCATATGTATCTCTTCTACGTCCAGGTGCATGCACAGAAAGCGATTAATATACCTGGCTACTTCCTGCGAGTTATGGCTGGTCATTGGATACACTTCGATCTATTTCGAAAAATGATCTACGGCTACTAGAAGAACATTGAGTTCTCCTTGATCAGCATGGCCTCTCGTCACGTTCATGTCCGTCGTATCAATACTGACCCGTTGGAATGGGCGCTCTACCCGGGTAGACACTATTGTACGGGGCATCTGTACCACCGCCTTATCGGCCCCACAGGTCGGGCAAGTCCAGATGATGTATTTCACATCTTCCCGGATTTCCGACCACTACCATCTGTTTTTCTCTATTGCTTTTTCCGTGTATTTGACTGCAAGTGGACCGCATCCTCCTCGTGGGCGGCTCGTGTCCAATCGAACCTGGCTTGTGGGTGTGGCACTGTCAGCCAACTAGATCTGTCGACGTCATCGTCTTTTCGCTTTTGAAGGACGGATCCCTGTCAGCGGTAATCGCGCGCCCATTCCATGACACGTCGTCATTCATCCTTGGTAAGTTCCGTCAGAGGGTCGCCTGTCAGTCTCCGCAATAGCAAAAGATCCGTCCAGACTTCCGCTCGGCGGACACTTGGTGAAAATTTGTCTACCGTTCTGGCTTCTAGATACCGTTTCTCCGTAAGGTAAGTGGTCCATTCAAGAGTTGGGACAGTTTCAACTTTTCTCATTCCGATACCGGGCACAACTCTCATGGGACCGGACGATGTGACATTGACTACATTGTACCTAGGGAAGAAAGCTAGGCCCCTCCAGAGGAGTATCTCCCCCGTCCGGTATCATGGGCAAGGTGCAGAAGAAACAGATTTGGGAAGGCGTGCTTGGCGGAGAGTCAGGATCAGGAAAGGGGGTTAAAGAGTAGGGAAGCGGAGAAGCGGTGGCGGCCCCCTCAGGGAAGGTAGCCATCTCCGATTGCTGCAGTACCCTTGCGGAGGACATTCACTTCCTCGTAGCCGGGTTCCGTCGAAGGCGAAATCGGCTTCCATGGGATGAGCTTTTGGTTCGCGGGACTCTTGTCCGGCGGCTGGAGGCGCGTCAAGCCATTGGCGTTCTCGTGTTGCCTGGTGGCGTGGTGGCCGATGTCGAAGTCGTAGTCCTGCAATCTCACCGCCCACCTCCCCAAGGTACCCGTGTAGTCCGTGTTGTTCCGCAACAACAACAGTGGCTGATGATCCGTCACGAGCACGAACTTCTGGCCGTACAGATACGGTCGAAAGTGCTGAACCCCCCACACCACCACCAAGCACTCACCCTTGCACGCCTCGTAGTTTGACTGTGCCTCGCTTAGCGTTTTCGACGCATACTCGATGACGTGCTCCCTTCCATCCGTTCCTTGCTGAGTCAGCACCGTCGATATCGCCTGCCGCTGCCAGTCGGTATGCAGCGCAAACTGTCTTGTCGGATCGGGATGCTCCAACACGGGCGCCGATGTCAGAGCCTCCTTGAGTGCCTAAAAAGCCGCCTCGCATTCCGGCGTCCAGATCAGCTGCTCCTCCTTCTTTAGCAGGTTCGTCAGCGGCTAAGCGAGGCAGGCAAAGCCCCGAATGAAGCGTCGATAATAAGAGGCCAGCATGAGGAAGGCTCGAACCTGAGTGAGCGTCACCGAGGCCGGGGCTTCTCGGACCACTGCTACCTTCGTGGGATCAGGTTTCAGTCCCTCGACCGTGACGATGTAGCCCAAAAAGGAAATTTCGCACAGAGAAAACTAGCTTTTCTCCAGAGTCACTTTGAACCCCGCATCTTTCAACGCATGCAACACCCATTCGATATGTTCCACATGATATTCGTAGGTTTTGGAAAAGACCAAAATGTCATCCATGTACACAATCACACAGGAATTTATCAACGGCTGTGTCAAACGGGTTTTGTTAACGAATTCCGCGAAGGCCATATTCAAGGCCCGCTGGAATGTTGCAGGGGCGTTGCAAATTCCCATGGGACACCGGATCCATTGCCACGTGCCCTCGAACAGGACAAAAGCGGTTTTGGGCCGGTCTTCCAGTCGGACGGTGGCGTGGTGAAAACCGTGTCGGATATCGAAGTTCGAAAAGACCCGAGCGGACCCGATAGCATCCAGGAGATCGTCAATCCGCGGAAGCAGATAAACATCTTTGGTAGTAATAGCGTTTAATTTGTTGTAGTCAATACACACTCGGACTGAACCGTTTCATTTTGGCACGAGGACCACGGGAAATGACCATGGTCCAAGCGATGGTTCAACCCACCCCAACCGCTCGAACTCCCGTACCCTGTCCAAGGCCAACTGTCTTTCTTTTAGGGAATAGCGGTACGGTCAGCAATGTATCGGAGCGCGATCACCGGTATCAGTCGCGTGTTGGATCAGGTGGGTAAGTCTTATATCGTGGTCCTGAATGCTGACGGCCTCTGGGTAGGCCCGTATAACTGCCAAAAGAAGGCGCTTGTAGTCGTCAAGCACATGGGTCGGCAGCCGGACATCCACGTTTCCCTCAGGGAGGGAGATCGTCGATGTAACCGTGGGGGCTACCGCGTTGGCTTCGGGTGAGGCACCAAACAACAAATTGTCGGTTTTTGTCGAAAGCACGGTCGCGATGAGTTGACTCTCAGCTAGGCTTATCAGTTCGTTTTCCATGTCACTGTCGTTCTCGAGCTCGGTTTCAGCCGAGGGTTCCACTGAAAAGGCCTGTAATAGCTCCTTCGGCCTCCATCGATATTCCCTCGTTCGAGGTTGAAACGACACCCCTTCCTTCAAGAGCAGGGGGGCTTGCGCGTTCGTAAGTAGGGGCCTGGGAGGCCGAAAGGTCAAATCGCACAACCCCCTAAGCTCTGTAAACCTTTCGGGTAGGGGGTCCGTCCTAAGATATAAGGACGCAGGCGGTTCCGAAAGGTCAGTTATTCGCGACACCCTCAGCAGGGGTTCTCCCTGCACCACGGAGGAGAACGCGTGCGACCAATCGGACTCGCTCCGAACTATTTTCATGGGTTCTCGTCGCCAGGAGTGGCGCCACCGATCCTGAACCCGGATCGGATATCGGTCGGGTACATCAGTCTCGTCAGTTTCCGATGAAGTTCCATTTTCACCTGGTGACAGGCGTTGGATCATGTTGATTTGATGGGCTTTCGTAGTGATTCGAGGCGCCGGCTGGGTGCGCATACGCACCGCCAATCTCATCGGTATCGTTTGTGGTTTGGTGTGGGCCGATGTGAGCACCACCTTACAGATGTCAAAGTGCATTCGCACTCCGACCGCCGCCTGCTACGGAATGCCTAGCAGAACATCGTACGCCTGTACATCCAGTACGATTGCGTTGCACAGACAATGCACCCGCCTAACTCGTATAGGCACGTTCGTTATCCGCCCCTTACAATGAATGTTGTCCTCCATAGCGGATATATACAGTTCCTCCGGTCGGAGGGGCTGAACCTATCCTTCCCTTCCCAATCGTTTCGTCAATCTCTAAGAAATGGCGACCGCTGACGATCCCGAGTCTAGGATGGCGGCCGAGGGGTTTCCCCAGACCTCGCAGTCACACTCAACGCTTTTCCAGGTTATAGGGTAGGCTCGGAGGAATACCTCTAGTTTTTCCAAGGCAGGATCTACGGTCTGGATCATTCCTACCCGGTTTGCTTCCTGCACCTTTGAGGTCGAGGGCTGTGACTCTTCGTTTGTGGGTAGGTCTCGTAGGACCGGATCTTTGCCCTTTCGACTTTCCTCGAATCGGCGCCTGTTCTTGAGGCATCGTTCGATCAACTTTTCGTTAGCCGCTTCGAAAATGGTTAGCAGATAGGGAATAGGGACGGGGATCCGTAGATCTAGAGCCTTCAATGCATCCAACACGTCGATGTGACCGTCTTTGTACTCAGGTCCAGGGGCCGTGAGATCTTCAAACCCCGGCCGCCAAGGCCCGAGGTCGCTTTCCTCGGTAATCCTTTGGACGTGACGTATCACTCCAATGGTCTCGGGTTCGAACATCACCGCAGCCATATACTCATGGGGTCCTATCTCGGTGGCCGCAGGTGTCACCATTTCCGTTGTTCTAGTATCCATCACCGTGGCTACCCTCCCTTGTCATGCAGCGGTTGGAGCAGCTAATGGTATTTGGGAAGGTCCGATGGGCCCCGCGGGCCCATTCAGAGTTCGAGGTTTCAGGCAGTCCTTCGCAAGGTGGCCCGGCCGATTGCAGTTGTAGCACCACAGAGGCTGGGCTCCTGCTGCGGCTGGTCGGGTCATACGGGTACCGACGGCCATGGCAGTTTGCGATCGTTGCACAACTGCCACCCGTTGCCGTTGTAAGTTTTGAACGAATTCCATCAGCGGGGCCACTACCGTGACCAGCTGGGCCTCGAC